TCTTGAAGCCTAATTGAAACACAAGATTTCAAGTGTGAAAGGCCCAATAGTGAGTTGCAGATGGGATGCATTTGCATCTTGAGGCTAAATAAGTGTTTTTTCACTTCCTCCCATTGTCTGCTCAGTTCCTGTTTCTAGAGCCTGTCAAATCATATCAGCTTTCTCAGCCTCACCAGTCCACGCATCTGTTTACTGGTATATAATAAGCACATAATCAAACGCCGCAGTTAAGCGAGCGCTGAGTGCTGTCAGAGCACATTGAGGGTGCATTTATTCAACGCTCTCAGTGTTGGCAGTTGCTTTGAGAAGGGCAACAGTAGAAGCAAGTGCTAATAAGCATTTGACATCAAGGTTACAGATATGCACCCTGTCGAGCAACAGCGGGCCTGTCTCACACTCTCTGGGGACTTAGTGTGACACTATTTTGTACTTTATAACATGCACAAACTAATTCAACTTTAATAAATACAGAAATGAGAAATGGGAAGATATAACAAAACACTTTAATGTGCTGAACAAGGCAATTATGAAAGCATGAGATGCATGTGGATTCTGCAACATCCTTTTTGATTAATAATTTCAAGGTTGAAGACATCCCTGTGTGTTGTTTTGAAACACTTATGCAAATGCTAAATTGTAAGCAGGCACATTTTTATCACATATTTACTAAACATTCAGGATGTCAAAAGAGGTTGCATTTAAGTAGGAAATACACGAGCAAATCACAGGAAAGTGATCCCTAGAGATTTAAACCTGAAAATAATGATGCATTTATTTAAACAAAAGCTACACATATCTATTCAGCCACTGGCATCTCTAGCACTGTTTCCCTCTGATTCACATCTTATCTCAATGACAGGCAGCAGTTTGTCTGCTTTATCTAGACATAAATCGTCCACCGCTGCTGATAGGCAGGGCATCCCCCAGGGATCTATCCGGGGCCCTCTACTCATTTTAATCTACATGCCTCCCTTTGGACAAATAATGCAACATTATTGGTCCATTTCTATTACTGTGTCAAAGACACACAAATCTATATTAGTTCCCATCACCACAGTCCTCCACCCCCTCATTAAGTACCTTTATCTGTAAGTCAAAGCTGATTCTAACTGGATGTTCACAATCTCATAAAAGATAAAACTGATATCTCATTAAACAGTCACAAAGCTTTTGTCCTTAGTGATCCTGGTCTTTTTGTAGGAGGTACTGATGTGAAACAAAAGTCTGTTCAAACTGTACTTAACATTAGTTTGCTGACTGAAGAATCAGAGTAGAAATAAAATTAAATAAAACTATATATCAAAAGATGTATTCATCTGTCACAAATAATGCCATTATTATTTTCATTCAGGGGTTATTTTCATTTTCAAGTACTGATGCAATAATTTGTATTAAGAAATTAAAACTTAATTGTACTAACAACAACAAGGTTGAAGATTTCCAGGGAAAACATGGACTTAAAAAAAAAATAATAATAATAATAAAATGTATATCCCAAATGTATTGTTGCTGTGGATAAAAACTGTCTGCCAAGTGCATAAATGTAAATTAATTTATCAGCAAATAATGTATATGATCTACTTAATTTATACATACTACAATTCAATACATTGAGGCCAGTAAGATTTATTTATTTTTTTTATTTACACATTAAACTGATCACAAGTGACAGTAAAGACCTTTATAATGCTACAAAACATTTCTATTTCTTCTGAACTTTCTATGCATTAAATAATCCTGAAGAAAATGTATTTCCACAGTCATATAAAGCAAAACCTGTTTTCAACATTATTACTAATAAGAAATGTTTCTTAAGCAGCAAATCAGCATATTAGAATGATTTCTGAAGGATCATGTGACACTGAAGACGGGAGTAATGGCTGCTGACAAATTCATCTTATATTTTAAAACATATTCAAATAAAAAGTTATTTTAAATTGTAATATTTCAAAATATTACTGTTTTTACAGTATTTTTGACCCATTAAATGTACCCTTGGTGAGTAAAAAAAACTACTTTCAAAAATATTAAACAATCTTACCAACCCCAAACTTAACTATACACATTTAACTGTATTAATATAATTTTTGTTGCAGGGTTCATGCATATGGATGTATGGATGTATATGGATAAAACATGCCATTCTTGTATAGGACACGTGGCAACATTATGGAATATTCACAAGCTCCTTTCAAAACTGACTCTGAGAATGAAGAAAAAAAAGAGAGAGAGAAAATTGTGAAAGGCTTGTGGGCTTCTTTTTGCTGACCAAAGCAGGACTTTGACTTTTACAAAAAGTTCCATGGCACTCTTTTCGCTTCATGCCAGCTTAATATTAACAACCTCAGGGCTGGCCAAACAGCAATTATCGAGCTTGTGTTACTGTGTGTATGCATATGTGCATGTGTACGTGAGTGTGTGTGTACCCAGAAAGGACAAACTCTTTGAAGACTTCCAACTGTTCAGAGAAGCATAATACAACATATAGCTACATCACCAACAAACGCGGTAATCCACTGTCACACAGAAAGGAGCACAGAGTCCATAGTCCTTTTGATTGGACAAGCAAGCCCCATTCAAAGAGTGGGAAATGAGAATGAGAGGCTTTGCTGCTTTACTGAAAATGGCCCCAGTGCATCCAAGAAAAAAAAATGCTTAGGAAGGTTTCTTTTCTATTTTTCTATGTTTCTATTTTGGCATACAATGAGCAAGGCTGAGGGATCAATTATCACCATACTATCCATTCACACACAAGAGGTGGCAGATAATTATGATGCCTTAGAAACTCTGGAATCATAAAGGGTTTTGTGTCTGAAGAACTTCTAAAATTCAAAGGCCGCCTATATGAAACACTTATAATATTATGGGTTCACAGAAAATGTCACACATATGTCTTGTGGCTGTATTAATTAAAAATTAGTATTTTAACATTTACAGATTGGCCCCATTCACTTCCATTGTAAGTACCTCACTGTAACCCTTTTTTTTAAGAAAAGAAAGAACAAGTTTGAGCTTAACTTGTATTGAACTTGGAATATCCATTTAACTGAGAACTGACAGAGAAATAAAAGGTTTAAGGGTTTACATGAGACCTACAACCACTTGACAAACATCTACATATTATTCACTGGCTTTTGTTTTTCCTTCCAGAACTTTTAGGCAAATATGTTGCGCTATTGATCATTCTGTAGCAGACGTATCCAAATGAAGAGAGATATATATTTGTCACTTGTTTGTAAACTGCTGTCTTACACAACGAGGTTGTTCAGGTCTGCTATTTTGGCTTTCCGCAAATGTATAAATTATTAGGTTGCAGGAGGCACATTTATTATATGTGTTTAGTTGCCTGGAGGCTAATAGCTGCTTTTCAGGTGTAGTAGGGCACTGATGAATGCTAGCTAATCGCTAATGTTGGCTGAGGGTTTAGACACCATTTATCACGTCTTTAAGGAATCTGCACATGGGAATATTAACAGCCGCATTGCCGTGACTTAAGTCTCTAAAAAAGCCTTTAAGTGCATTAAAGCAGTGCTTTAGTTTGACATTAGATAATGAAATGAGAAGAGAGTCCAATTAATTCTAACAGCTTAAGAGTGGTTGAATGTAATGCAATGCCAAAATGCCAGACTTTAAATGCTCCAACACTAATGCACTCTCTTAGGGTCAATTTTACCCACAAAGAAAGGTTGGCAAGGGTGTCATTTTACCTCGATTGGCTGACGCTTTAAATTACAGAGACTTCTGTAGATAAATCAAATCACAATAGCACTTTATAGCACAGCGGTTAGCAGTTCGCAGGGGCAAAGAGTCATTGTCAAAATCAAAGTATTTCATTCAAATCAGTTTACACAATAACTTATACCCAGGGGTGTCATGAACCAATATTTTTTTCTGGCTCACTTCATGTCCTAGATGAGATAAAATATGACTTTAAAACAAATCTTAATATAACTTTACATAAAAAACTTTCCCCTTACTTACACTAAAAGAGAAAATTTGTGTAGAAACTATTTTAAATCTGTAACTATTTACAAAAAAAAAAACTAGCAATTTCTATTTACAACTTCAAAAAATAAATTAACAGTGAGAAATAATAGTATATATATATATATATATATATATATATATATATATATATATTACAATATAACAAATATTATTAAACTTTTTTTAATTCTACACTACCATTCAAAATTTAGGGTTGGAAAGATTTTTAAAAATTTTTTTGAAAGAAGTCTTTTATGCTCACCAATGCTGCATTATTGTGAAATATTATTACAATTTAAAATAACTATTTTATATTTTAACATATTTTAAAATGTAATTTATTCCTGTGATGGCAAAGCTGAATTTTCAGCATCATTACTCAAGTCTTCAGAAATTCCTTCAGAAATCATTCTAATATGCTGATTTGCTGCTCAAGAAACATTTCTTATTATTATCAACATTGAAAACAGTTGTGCTGCTTAATATTTTTGTGGAAACCATGAAACATTTTTTGGATTCTTTGATGAACCAAAAGTTCAAAAGAAAAGCATTTATTTGAAATTCTGCAACATTATAAATGTCTTTACTGTCACTTTTGGTCAATTTATTGCATCCTTGCTAAATAAAAGTATTAATTTTAAAATTAAACTAAATAAAAAAAAATTTACTGACCCCAAACTTTTGGACTGTAGTGTATAAAAAAAGGGCTAAAATAAATAAATAAATAAATAAAACTGAGGGGGGCACCCTTTGTTTGAATGAACATGAACTTCTGATTAGACCTGTTATGAAGTATGACCCAGAAGCCTTTTTAATGTCATGCTACTATCTTGCCTCTCTGAGGGGTTGCTGGCCCCCAGCCCCTCTCAGAGCTGAAATCAGCACTCCGCCGCACACGGGGCACTGACCCACCAGCCGGGATTTTAAATGAATCGGAGGATAGGACATAGGAGCAGCACCTGCCCAGATGGCAGGGTGCACAGGTCCCGAGCAGAGATACAACATGGGCTTACCTGCGAGTTCGACCTGGATGGATGCCACAGACAGACCCCTGGGACAAAAGAGAGGAAGGGAACGCTGAGATCCAGTCTGTTGGCCGTGACTTCCATACCTCGAGAGTTCATGCCTGGTGGGAAAGGGTTAGGGATGACATTTGCCTCACAAACCTTTGGATTATTCAAGGCTAGTCCACTACGGTGCACATTTGAAAAATTATTTCAGTTATCCCTATGTACTCGATTTATAACTCTTATTTATAACTGAAAGGTAACTGCTGTGCATATTAAAAGAATAATGCTGATTACCGCATAATTAATTTCCATGTGAATCTCCACTTATTTATAAAAAGCAAAATTGAAAAGAGTTCCATTGAGGCATTTACAATGGAAGTGAACGGAGACAATGTGTAAAAATTAAAATACCCACTTTAATTTTTAGTCCACTTTTTACAATAACAATATAATTGTATTATTATGATATTATTGTTGTTGTTTACTACTACTGTTAATGGTAATAATTAACCTTACCATAAAACTTGCTAACTTTAATATTTACAATAACAATAATAATTTCTATGGATATGATTAATTATTATTGATGTTATTATTAATAATAATAAATTGTTATTATTATTATTATTTTCATATCCACAGTTTATCTAAGTTGACATTAATACGATTTTAGTGTGGGAAAAGAATCACTTACTGACCTTTTCTGTATGAGGTTATGTCCAATTTTACGTTGTTGCCACGACACTGTGAACCCTAAAACCACTGAAAAAAAGACAGAGAGCTTTACAACTTAAATAATACAAAAGTTTTAACAGAAAAATTTATGAGCTTTCACAAAATTATACACTTCGCATTTATGATAACAAAGAGGCCCCATTCACTTCTACTGCAAGTGCCTCACCATAACTTTGATTTCAGTTTTTTTTTTTTTTTAAGAAAACAAGGAAACTATTTTTTGTGATAATCAGCTTGTATGAATATTCCCTTAAGCTTGCAACATAAATGAACACCGCACAAAGTGAAAAGTGTCTTTAAGGAGAAAATTACTTTTATTGGTGTGACCTAATGCAGCCAGGTTGATTTAAATTTTTAATTAATTTTTTTACAAATTAGAGACATATTAGACACAATATTTTTGACTTGAATAAAACCAGTCAATTTACATGCTATCAGATTTTTTTGGGTTTACAATAATTTTACAGTGATACAAAACTGCAGAAACATTCAGAAAACATTCTGCATTTCATTTTTCATAATAACTGTCTTCTTGCAAAAAAGATGCAAACCGTACCCTGAAATACGAATTATAAAATGCAAATGTGTCCCGTACGGCTTGAAATATGTATGCCTCTGCGCTTACAAGGGACTTGGGCTTTAAAAGCACTCAATGTAGGTCCCTCACAGCAGCGGCTGCTTTCTCTGTCCTTCACATTTCACTGGTCAGTGCCCAGTAATCAACACACATTACCCACACAGAGCCCAAGCTTAATTACCAATCACACACAGACCCACAGACACTCCAGCTCTTCCATATTCCGCCTGCCACTTACCTTTCTCCCCATTATTTAAATTCAAGATTATGAATGACTGACACACGAGTATGTAAATGTGTTTTGTTTTTGAGATTATGTGCAGTGGTTGATATGCTGATGAGGAACGGTAACTGCCTCTCGAGAGTGAGTGACATTCCCCTGCACAGTATGAGACCCTCTCCTGGATTCTTCTCATCAGGCATCCTGTGGAGAATAGTTTACTTCTTAACAACAAAAGAAAAACTGTTTACGGCATTCGCCCGACGGTAGAGATTTGACTTTGCCATACCGCGTCTGATTGGTGCCAGACTTTGGAAGAGCTGCCTAATATATTAAATTTTCTTTAGGCAAGTTCACCTCCTAAAAATGAACATTCTGTTACCATTTAATCACCCTCAGGGTTTTCATGTTTCACTATAAATAGTAATAATAATAAATTCAATATTAAAGTTAGGTTTTATGGTTCTGGTTTTATTATTAACAACACCAATAACAGCAATAATATTATCATCATCAACAATAATAATAATAAAGTAAATATTAAAGTTACCAAATTGTATGGTTACGGTTAATTATTACAATGCTGATTATTATTATTGTTAATAATAATAATAATAATAATAATAATAAAATTAGCAAGTTTAATGGTAAGGTGTATTATTATTATTAATAATAATTATAACAATTATTATACGTAATTATTATTTATAATTAATATTAACAACAACAACAACAATAAAGTATACATTATTACTATTAATAATAATAAAAATATATTATATTAATAATACTATAATAATATATTATTATTATTAATTGTTGTTATTGTTGTTAATAATAATTATTATTATTAATATTATTATTGTTATTCATTTTTTAAATAACAGCAATAATATTGATTAAAAAAATAAAGTAAATAAAAATGAAATAATTATCTCACACATTTAGCTTCTTGTTTTAATGATGTGGAAAACAAGACTGATTAACAAAAAATTACTTTTGCAGCATTAAATAGAACATATAAAGTGAATTTTAATAGTATTCAGGATGCTCTTTTCCATATAATGACAGTGAATGGGGACTAGGGTGAGAACAAATTCATTATACAAAAGTAAGTGTCAGAATATTCCTCAATTATACACCTTTTTGTTCCACAGAAAAAAGAAATTCAAATAAGTTTGGAACAACATGAAGGTGTGCAAGTGATCTTTCTTTTTTTGGGTACACTATTACTTTAAGATATTATTGAAACGCATCTTCTTTCGGAAACATTTAGAAGAAAACGTTATGTAAAACCCCCAAATGTGCCTCATTTCGTTTTGCACATCCAGCCATCCATGAAACCATCCATTCATCCATACTCACATATCCATCAAACCATCCGTTCATTCTAGCAACTTTTCTCTACAAGCGTTTCATATTTGAACAAAAATGATCACAGCAGGGGCAGTGGAGCAGGAAATCAGGTGAGGGGAAACAGGAAGTTGCAGGTGTGACACGGGTCCTGTGGAGCCCCATCTAAGCAGGAAGTGATATTGAGTAAGAGCAGATGGATCTGATGCGATTACAGCTTGTAGTTGGAAAAGCCCTCTGTTCTGGTGACTGTTTATAGCCGTGAACTAAGACTGTGAAGCAATATCCAACAGGCACAGAAGAGCGAGAAGGAACACAGTTGCAGGAGAAGTTTCAATAATGGCCCTGAGAGATATTGAAATAACAAATGCAATATGTTCATGTCAGTTCCTGCGGTCTTGTGTATTCACTGTTGGAGCTTTTTTTTTTTTTTTTTTTAAATCCAGAAGTGAAATTACCATACACACCAATTAAAGTTTCTCATTCCATATCCCTGTGAAAGTTTCACACTCAAGCCAAGTTTTAAGAGGTGCACACATTCATGTCCTTTGAAACCCGTATGACTGAGGAACACAAAATGAGTGAAATATTATGCATTGTGCATACCCAATGAAAAAAATCTATTTATTTAAATCTGTCCACTGGTGAAATCAGGCATTAAGGAGACTAGCAAATATTCATCTTATTATACATTATATTCAGTACTGCACATAGTAGTTTAATATTATTATTAAACCTCTATAAATTTTCATTTTTTGTCCCACACACTTAACAAATATAAACAAGGCTTTGGATCACTTGATTTTGCATTAAATTCTGACTATCTTAGGGAATGTTGACTTAAATTATGTTTCCCATACAAAAACAAGGTTTCAGAAGAATTGAAATATCATACAAAGGCAATATGAACCACTATTATGATAATTTTATAGTGCTTTTGACAGAAGCTTGACAGAACCAATCCCCAATCCACTTTCCGTAAGCATCAAAATGTATCATGACTTCCACAAAAATATTAAGCAGCACTTACTGTTTTCAACATTGATGATAAAAAATGTTTCTTGAGAAGCAAATCATCATATCAGTACGATTTCTGTATGAAGGATCATGTGACATTGAAGACTGGAGTAATGATGCTGAGAATTCGCAAGAATAAATTACATTATAAAATATATTCAAATAGAAAACAGTTATTTTAAATTGTAATATAATTTCGCAATATTACAGTTTTTATAGTATTCTTGATCAAATAAAAGCAATGTCGATTTGCAAAAGAGACATTGAAAAATCTTTCTGGCCTGAACTTTTTGAATAATAGTGTATGTTTTTAAAAGACATTTTTTTCTTTTGTCTACTGTGGGCATTCATATTTGTCACTGACCTTTCTAAAGTAGAACCGAAGTCTGACCCAATTCACTTTCATTATTTGGACGGGAGCAGCTTGGACATTCTGCTAAACGTCTCTTTTTGTGTTCCACTGAAGAATGTAAAACATACAGGAGCATGAGTAAATCATTATGAAATTCTCATCTTGGGGGGCTTAACTATCCCTTTATGTTTTAGTAAACAGCATCTGCTAGCTCAGGGAAGCTACTGTCTCTCACTCATTTGGACTGATCTCAGTCTCTCAAAACTAATAGAGCTCAGCAGTGTCTGGTAATGAATGCACAGGTGCCTTTGACTGTCCACCAGCATCCCGAGACATTTGCTCAGAGAAAAGAAAGAGAGCGCGAGTGAAAGTGGTGCAGTACGCTTCTAATTCCCTCAACTGCGTGCCTCCACATTAGTCATTCTTGTCTTGGCGCCTCAATTAGTGGCATGTATGTTAGATGTTTTCTCACTTTCAGCCCTCTGCCTATGCTTAATTGCCCACCTAGGTCACTGTTCAGAAATGAGTTATCGTTCGGCTACGGTGTCAGGCCGGGGTGTGAATGGCTTCTGAGACTTAATGAAAGGTAATGATAAGATAAACGATCTCCTAAATATTCATCTGGGTTTTGTATTGATGTGTGGAATGTGTAAAATGGAGGAACCCGCAAAGCTGCTCCATTCATTTAAGCTGCTAACTAGCACACTGCAATATACATCCACTGTATGGAAAAGAGCAGCGCTAACATTCTGTTAAACATCACAATTTGTGTTCTGCATCAATGATGTGATGCTCATCCTATTCATTTATTCAAAAATACATTATAAATGCAATTCATACATAAAATGCTTTAAATACACCTTTTATATGATATTTTTAATTTTTATATTTGTTGAGAATATACTGTCAGGGTGACATGACACAGTCTGCCATAAGCTTTTATTATTATTTCTTAGAAAAAAATAATATTTATATACAAACCCAAATTCACCATAAAAGCCTATGAATATTTAAAAATCTTTTGCCAGCCAAAGTAATGTACAAAATTATGTGGCGCAACCAACAAGCAGAAAAAAAATAAAATCAAGAAATAATATCATACTTTCATAACTGTCAAAGTCAATAAGCCTCCTAAAATATTACAATTTGATCTTTTTATAGACAAAATTAGTTCAGGTTGCAAAATATCATGTGGCAGAATCCCCCAAAACAATGATATTTATGAATTAATTAATGATATTTGTTCTATTTAATTATTACATTTAAAAACATTTTAGAAAATAATTATTAAAATGTATAAATTTACACATTTCCAATGTGTAAGGAAAATTATACTTAATAATACGTTTTACTTGGTTACACCGCATGACATTTAACAAAAAAAAGTTACATTCAATTAAAACTTTACAAGAAAACATTAAAAGTTTTCCCAAAGCTAACATGAATACAAAGACCACATCTCTAAGAACATGAGATTGTTCTTATACTGTGGACACTCTTATTTGTCA